TATGAGCTTCCACACCTGAGCTTTTCCTCCTCATCTATGCACAACTTGCCAGATCCATCCCAAACACATCCATTCCCTATAACATCTTTCCTATCCCTCATTGACTGCTTTGCTACTTTGAACATTTTCCTCGAACTCACATCAGATTCCATTTCCTTCATTAACCTATCTGATGCTTTCGTCATTGCAGTTGCCACTGCCTGTTTTGCAACCTTCTTAGCCTTCCTATACTCAGACTCCGCTTCCTCCGTCATGTCCCTTCTCCATACCCTAAACCTCTCCTTCTTGACTTCCAAAACCCTTCTTATATCTTCATCCCACCACCACGTCTCACCATGCCTACACTTTCCTTTCGTCCATCCACATACTTTATCTGCCGTAGCCAACACACAGTCCCTGTATCTCTCCCAAACATCTCCATCCTTACCACTTTCCCAATTTTCAGTCACCTTCACTTCAAATGCCTTCCTCACCTCTGCATCCTGCAACTTCCATGTCTTTCTCTTTGCCACAAACTTATCCTTCTTCCTCCTCCCCATTTCTTTTGATGTCACATCCATCACAACCATACTATGCTGCAACATACCAGGTATCGCCTTCACATTCTTCACATACTTCCTATGTTTGGGCCTTACCAATATATAGTCGATCATCGATCTATTTTCCCCTGACCTATAAGTAATGGGATGCAGGTTGTTTTTTAAAATTTAAAGGCATTTTATAGTCTCAGCTTTTAATTTATTAATAGGTTTTTGAAAATGCTACTTCTATTTTTTATCTTGGAAGTTTATTCAAGAATATAACATGATAAATTAAATTATTTTTTAAATATTATTTTTATGTAATATTTTTCAGATCGTGTATGAATCAAAAGGATTTACCCGTTCACTCTATGTTTATTCTGAAACTTCCGAAGTATGCATAGACTTGTACTACATTCTTTTTGTGGCTATTTTTTGTAATTACTTTTTCATAGATTGTTCAATGTATCATCATCACCATAATAATTTGATTCCCCTACATAAAGCCAGTTCAATTGTTTCCAAGGAAAATTATTTTTTCAAACCTTTCATTATCAATCAATCAGTCAATCAATCAAGCACCTGATTCATAGTTTAGCAATTCTTTCGGATGTTTTATTAAATAGCGTGTTTATTTTTTAGCATTTGAGTCGCGTCACTGAAATGAGAGTTTTTTTTTTGATCGTTTAGTTATCACCCCAGTCAAATCTTTATAAGGCACACGTTCTGGCTATGGTTGTAGTTTAAAAATTTGGTGAATTAGTTAACGATAGTCTTGAGTTTGTCTAATAACATTCTTGCAAATTCTTTTACATATTTTACATCTGTTCCAATCAATTATGATTTTGATCCCACATTTTGTCTGGCAGCTACCCCTTCAACGAAACAATATTTTGTATCATGTCGACGAAATCTAAGGCTTCAGATTTTTTCACTCAGCTAATCATCTTTCTGAATATACCGAGATACTGCTAGAACATAACATTATGTTTGTATTTTGAATTTCCTCCATGTTATTTTTATTCAAGTCTCGAAAGCTTCATTCATCTTTCTGTTTTTATTCCTTTACCCATCCTAATAGCAAAAAGTTTTCCCGTGTTAAGATTTCACACACTGCCTGCCTCATAACAATTATTTTTTTCAACTTTTCAAGCCACAGCGCCGTTTGTGGAACTATTCGTTGAATTTGGCTCTCTGCAATTTGCTTAAAATTTAACCTAACTTCTGTAACTCCACATGGAAATCTTTTTCAGTCTGTTTGTTATAACAACTATTTATGCCAAAAATAAGGCGACAGGGGTTTCGGAAGTGGCGGCTGAACATATAAAAGCGAGTGGGGTGATAGGAATTGAAGTTATGATGAGAATTGCTAACAGTATGTTTGATGATGAAGGTATACCTGAGGATTGGCGACACAGTGTGTTGGTGCCGTTGTATAAGGGTAAAGGAGATGTGAGAGATTGTGGGTCATATAGGGGTGTGAAATTGCTAGAGCACGGAATGAAGGTAGTGGCATTCTCACCATGAACAACGCAGCCGGTGGATGCGTTGTTCATGGTGAGAATGTTGCAGGAGAATTATAGAAAGAAGAAACGAAGATTGTACATGTGCTTTGTGGATCTAGAAAAGGCTTTTGATCGAGTACCGAGGAAGGTCATTGAATGGGCGTTGAGGAAGAAAGGAGTGAATGAGAGACTTGCTAAAGCTGTGATGCAGCTGTATGAAGGGGCAAAGACAAAGGTGAGGGTTGGAAGGGGGATGTCGGACGCTTTTAGTGTTAAGGTAGGAGTGCATCAAGGATCAGTGTCATCACCGTTTCTGTTTCCAATTGTGATGGATGTTGTGTGTGGAAACATAATGGAGGAGTTGTTATTTGAGATTTTGTATGCAGATGATTTAGTCTTGATGGCTGATATCATGGAAGAATTGCAGTTAAAATTTGACAGATGGAAAAGTGTTATTGAAAAAAAAGGGTTAAAAGTTAATATTGGTAAGACGAAGGTAATGGTGAGGGAAGGTGGGGAACGAGTGATAAGTAAAATAGACCCCTGTGGGGTATGTGACAGGAGAGTGAAGGCTAACTCGGTATTGTGTATAGGATGTCAGAAATGGGTGCATAAGAGATGTAGTGGTGTGAGGGGGGCACTGAAAAAGGTGGAAGGCACGTTCAAATGTAAGAAATGTGTTCATGGTGTGATT